GGCTTGACTTGACCTTTGCTCTCTATGTAGGGAAGCCGCTACACATCAAACCACGCCTGTGAGGCTTCCTGGGGAACCAACCCGCACCTACCTCAGACCCTCACCCCTGGAGAGGATGGAGGCTCTACCCACCACTGCTCCTGAGGAGAAGCAGCCTGCCACTGAGCCCAACCGGGGCTATAAACAGGGATACATAGCTCCTCCCATTTGGCTTATAGCCTTTGGAGGCTTTGTGTGCCCAGACCTTGCTCTCCTCCCTCTACCAAGCCAAGGCCCCGTCCATCCCCTGTTCTCCCTCACCCCTCCAGGCACTCAGCCTCACACTAGGACTTGTCCCTGACTCCCACCCGTCAGAGTGCCATGTGAGGTTCACCCCAGGCTCTCTCCTGTGGTGGGTGTGGTAATAGCTGTAGGACTTGTGCCCCAGCCCTCCCCATCCAGGACTCCTGCCCAGGGAAGAGGCCATTGGCCAGGCTTCTCTGGTGGGTATTTTATGTTCAGCAATAAAGGTTTTTATCCTGTGTCTAGTTGGCCTGTCTTGACTACCACACAACCACAGGACTCTGGGAGAAAGTCTCCTGGGAAAGAGTCCTCTCTTCCTTTGGCAGGAGGAAGGCCTGCCCTAACCAACTCTGGTGTGACTTAGAGGCTAGAAGCAGTGTCTCCCCTTGGCCAAGTCAACACAAATGGGGTTTACTGGGTTGTGGGGCATAATCTGATGTTATGTGGGACAGGCTGGGGCCAAGGCAGAGGAAGAGAAGGCCTGGCGACCCTGGGAAGGGGCATGGCTTGGGTTGAAATTCTGGTTTGTTCCACATAGACACTGGATAGGGAAAACTGGGCACAGGGTCATTCAAGTGCCCCTTCCAAGGATGAGGCATGGACCATCAAAGGATTTGCTCACAGGCCTACAGGGATGCAGGCCAGCAACCTCCTGGTGTCTGTACTAAATGTTTGTATGGGTCAGCTACTGCCCATGCTATAGTGTAGTATATGAGACCACTGCCATGTAGCTGGGCCTTCACTCCGCCTTGTGACTCAGTACCCCAAGTCCCTCAGGATCCTGGTGCCCAACCCACACAGGTGGTAAAGACCTCTACCCTCAAGGCTATAGGAGGTATAGGTGTGCCATTTCATACTCTACCACAGCCCCTGCCAAGGAAGTGAGTTTCCTTACCTAGGCCTCATTGAGAAAACACACTTCTCCAACTTCTCCACAGAAACTGTCCAGCATAGGCAGGCAGGTCTAGGCATGTAGCCAGGCACCCCTCACCATCTCTCCATTACTGCTATCAAGGCACTACTGTGGAAAGAGTTCAGTAGAAAGCTAGACTCTAAATCTTTGTTTTCCAAAAAAAAAAAAAAAAAAAAAAACAACCTGAGACTCATCCGTCAGTGAAGATTGGAGTCCCCTGATACTGGACCCCTGGAACTTGATGAACAGGGACCTATAGGAGGACCAGGGTGGGTTTCCTTCTGTTGGCAAGTCCCACCCAGCCAGGCGTCCTTGCCTGGCATGCACTGTGGCTCCTAGATGCCCTGTGCCACCTACAACCTTGGCCTTCAGTGGACAAGCTATTACTTAACTGCTCTCAGTTTGCCCTCCCTCATTGTTTAGCCAGGGTCCCCATATGAGCACCAGCAGAGGAGATGGGGGTGGGGGACAGAGGAGGCACACTTTGCTGGGCCAGCGGTATAGTGCTTGCCTAGAATATGAAGTGCTAAAGTCCACTGACATGAAGTACCACCCATAGCACAGCTACCCAGGGCCATTGGGCTTACAGAGCCATCTGTATCCTCCGCCCCATGCTTCTGGGGTACCCACCTCTGAGACACCGTGAAAAGAAAGTCTCTGGCAAACAGATCTCTCTCCTCTCTCTAGGTAGGAGGAGGATCTGGCTCCCATTGCAGGATGCCAGGCAGCAGCACTCCCCTGTTCCCTGCCCCCCCCACCCATGACTGACACCCCCACAGGTTGACAAAGGGGCACGGCTGGGGTCCTTGAGCACTCTACCTTCACAGGTAGATTCTAGGCAAATCTACCCTCATGTTTTGTATACTCACTTCCTCAGTGAGCATCACTGCAGGCAGGACTCCTGACTCGGCCAATGGGCACCTGTGCTCAACTGGTACTGGCGTAGGCTGAGACAGCCATTGTAGGTGCTGCTCTTCTGGCACACACCCGTAACCCCTGTACCTTTAGTTTAAGGCCAGATTGTGCTACATAAAGAAACCCTTCTAACAGGGGCAGGGGGTGTGGTTTGAGCTCTGTGTAATGTGGCACTCACTGCCTCACCCAGTAGCCGCGTTCCCATGAATGAAAAGCAACAAATGACAGGTCCCATTTGCACACCGCAGAGTGCTTTCTGATGGGTAATATTTAGAGACTCCGCCTACCATGGAAGTTAGATCAGCCTTGCCTGTGACTCATGCCCTGTGCTGTGACCATACCCCAGCTGAGGCCATCCAGTAAGTAGTCCCTGGAGCTGCCGAGCCGAGTATCTGGTACACTGAGCCCAATAGCAAGCAGCAGCCTTGGATGGTCTCAGGAGGTGAGTGGTACTGGTTGTTGGGGGTGGTGTGATGGACACCCTAACCTCCCCATCACTTCTCACAGTCCCATTCCCCTCTACTCCGAGCCCTTGAGGAATCCTTGGGCCACATGTGGTCTCCCAGGCTCCTCAACATCCCCCAGAGGTCTGACCTTGAACCAACTGCCCTGGCTAACTGCCAAGCAGTTCCAGTCCAGGCTACCACCTCCCCCGCCCCCCAGCATTCAGGGCTTACTCTTCCCTCTGCTCATGTCGGGGAGGGGGGCTGTCCTGCCTCCTCAGCTCTCCCCACACTTCACTCACCCAATCCAGCAGCGTCCAGCCAGCAGCAGCAAGTCAGCAACTGTCCTAGAGTCAAAAAAAAAAAAAAAAAAAAAAAAAAAAACACTGTCCTAGATGAGACCACAGCTCACTGCAGCCTGGGAAATGCCAACAGAAACCCCTGCCAGGCTCTGCCTATGTTTCTGACCTGACACTCGGAAACAGTGAGTGAACACACTCTGAGCTGCTGAGCTTGTGATGGCACCCTGGGAGGGAATTAACATTCTCTTCGCTCTTCGCCTTCCTTCCTTCCTTCCTTCCTTCCTTCCTTCCTTCCTTCCTTCCTTCCTTCCTTCCTTCCTTCCTTCCTTCCTCCTCTTTCCTTCCTTCTTTCTTTCTTTCTTTCTTTCTTTCTTTCTTTCTTTCTTTCTTTCTCTTTCTCAGAGATCTGCCATCCATCATACCTGGTTTGCTTCCCCCCCCCCCCCCTTTCTTCCTGCAGGCAGGCAAAAAAAAAAAAAAAAACAGGCAGTGGAGCCCAGAGGAGGCAGGGTGCCCAAGGCCACATGGGATGCAATGCCCAGACTTGTAGCTCATCTTTAAGGCCTTTAAGGATTCAGGCTAGTCCCCTGGTCCCACATCTTTTGCCAAGCTGTAGGAAACATAAGCAGCTAAAATACTGGCTCACTTGGTGAGGCCTCATGATCCATCTCAAAGACTCCCCTTTGTGCCCAGGTTCACCTAATACAGGTCGTCTTGGACAGAGCCTGTTACTTTTCGCAGCCTGTTTTCTCATCTGTAGAATGGACACGATTATACTGAAATGGCTGTTGCCACCACCTCAGCACTATAGAGTCCCACAATACGTGTTCCACTGGAGCCTCTTTTGCAGAGGCTGAGACTTTTGTGGGGGTTTCTTATGCTTTTGTTTGTTAGTTCCTGCATAGAGGAATATGAAGGGGAGTTGAGTCAGGACAACACGGGACATTGTGGGAAGGAGCTGGGAGCTGTTCACTCGCTGCCAGATATTCCCCCTATAAAGTAGCAGGCAAAACCTCTGACACCATGGCATCCTGGGATAGGTATCCTGTGAACATCCTTCCAGGCTTTTTTTCCTGTGCACAAATGGTTTACATTTAAGATTTTTATTTTTAATAGTTAAAGGAGTTTAACAGCGATGTAGAGAGGGGGAAACCCCACTCCAAGTCATGCCCAGCTGTTGCTCCAACGTGCACTCCTTTTCCATCTTCTTTGGGGTCAGAAATTCTGGTGGGGGGGGTCGTAGAATTCACATCTTCTTGTCACCCCTCGTCCCCCCGTGTTTCTCTTGCTGTACAGACATTCAGCGGGAGTGAGACTGGCAATCTGTTTTCCACCTGTCCTGCCAACTCTCGCCCACCCTGTAAGGCGCCTCCAAACCCCAGTGGTGGGCAGCTGGGTCTGAGATTCCTTGTGGGTCCTGTTTGGCAACTCTTCAGCAGGCGTCCAGACCTGTCAAGGACCCTCAGGTAGCCCCTGAGACCTGTTCCCCTAGGCCCATGGTGGCGCACAGGCGTCTGTCCCTCTCCACCTTACACACCGTGGGTCAGAGGCCTGCCGTTCCACCGTGCATCCTGCCGCCAGCCCGAGGTGCCAGCAACTTTGTTGACTGAATTCCTGAACCCGTCCCAACCACAGGATAAAAATAGTGCTCCCGGGCAGCTCGGAGTCACCCGTGTCAGGATGGTTAGAGGTCCCCGTTCCGAGGACTCCAGGCCGGTCGGGCCGGGTGCGGGACACAGCCAACTAGGCCACCTAGCAAAACCGAGACGTCGAGGGAGTCCCCTGGGCGCGGGCCTCCTCAGCTTCACCACACTCTTTGGCTGTGCAATCCTGGGACCTCGGGGCCTGGTGGCAGAAGTCTGACGCTTGGTCTCGCGCCCTCCGTTGTGCAGTCCCACGCGGCCGCCACCAGGGGGCCCTGCCCACTCCTCTTGCCGGAGGCCCATCCCCACCCCTTCCCACAGCTGTTTCCCGCAGGAGATTGACAGCTGGGCTCCGGTTGCCATGGGGATAGGCAAATGAGGGCGTCAGGGCTGGGCTTCCGATTGGCCCGGGGGCGCCGGCCCCCACCTGGGGAGGCGGGCCCAGGAGCGCGTCTCTATAAAGGCTTGCACGGCTCCGCACTAGGTCGAGGGAGGCGGGGCCGGCTGGCAGCGCGGGTGGGGCCCGGGGCGGGGCGGGAGAGCCCCGAGCGCGGCAGAGCCCCGGGCGCGGCCTCTGCACCCTCCAGGCTGGGACAGCGAAGGAGCAGGAGGAGGAGCGCAGAATCGGGGCCCTTCGCCCGCCCGCAGCGGGCCGGGGGGCCGCCCGAGAGGCCTGGCCGGCGGCGCTCCCTGAGCGCAGCCCGGAGTTGACTGCGCGAAACTTTTCCTGCACCCTTCGGCGGCGCGACCAGACGCTGCGCTCACCGCGACACGAACCTCGGCCCGGGGGGGAGCTAGGGGGAGAGAGGCCCACGGCTCCCCCCGCTCCCCCGCCGTCCGTCGGGGCGCGGCCGGGCGCGGCGGCAGCAGCGGGGCTGGGGCCCCGGGCGATGGCCGCGGAGCTGGCGATGGGTGCAGAGCTGCCCAGCAGCCCACTGGCCATCGAGTACGTCAACGACTTCGACCTGATGAAGTTCGAGGTAAAGAAGGAGCCGCCCGAGGCCGAGCGCTTCTGCCACCGCCTGCCGCCCGGCTCGCTGTCTTCGACGCCCCTCAGCACGCCCTGCTCTTCGGTGCCCTCTTCGCCCAGCTTCTGCGCACCCAGCCCGGGCACCGGCGGCGGCGCGGGCGGCGGGGGCAGTGCCGCTCAGGCCGGGGGCGCCCCGGGGCCGCCGAGCGGAGGCCCCGGCACTGTCGGGGGCGCCTCAGGAAAAGCGGTGCTGGAGGATCTGTACTGGATGAGCGGGTACCAGCACCACCTGAACCCCGAGGCGCTCAATCTGACGCCCGAAGACGCCGTGGAGGCTCTCATCGGCAGCGGCCACCACGGCGCGCACCACGGCGCGCACCACCCGGCGGCCGCTGCGGCCTATGAGGCCTTCCGGGGCCAGGGTTTCGCGGGCGGCGGTGGCGCGGACGACATGGGAGCCGGCCACCACCACGGCACCCACCACACTGCCCACCACCACCACTCTGCCCACCACCACCATCACCACCACCACCACCACGGCGGCGGCACGGGCCACCACGGCGGAGGCGCGGGTCACGGCGGAGGCGGCGCGGGCCACCACGTGCGCCTGGAGGAGCGCTTCTCCGACGACCAGCTGGTGTCCATGTCGGTGCGGGAGCTGAACCGGCAGCTCCGCGGCTTCAGCAAGGAGGAGGTCATCCGACTGAAACAGAAGCGGCGCACGCTCAAGAACCGCGGCTACGCGCAGTCGTGCCGCTTCAAGCGGGTGCAGCAGCGGCACATTCTGGAGAGCGAGAAGTGCCAGCTCCAGAGCCAGGTGGAGCAGCTGAAGCTGGAGGTGGGGCGTCTGGCCAAGGAGCGGGACCTGTATAAGGAGAAATACGAGAAGTTGGCGGGCCGGGGCGGCCCCGGGGGCGCGGGCGGGGCCGGCTTCCCTCGGGAGCCCTCGCCGGCGCAGGCTGGCCCCGGTGCAGCCAAAGGCGCGCCCGACTTCTTCCTGTGAGCTCGGGACCCTGGGCCTCGCCGCCGCCGGGGACAAGTTTGCGCAGGCCGCCCCGGCCTCGGCTCGGACTCTGAGGCCCGGGGCGCGCGTGCGGGCGGTGCTGCTGCGGTGGTCCTCCCGTCCGCCCTGTGCGTCCCGCCGCGATGCCCCAGTTCCAGGTAGCTACAGCGGTGCGCCTCCTCCGCCCGTCCCCTCAGCTCTGAACGTTCTCCGGGTCGCCGTCTAGACGTTATTGAGGTCCCTCGGCGCGCCGAGAATGGTGAATACTAGGGGAGACCGAGCCAGGTCTGACTTCCTCGGCAACGACCACTTGAAGACGTGGAGCGCACTTCTGCGTCCAGACCTCCGCCCACCCGCAGCGGGGCCGCGCTGCCACCAGCTCCCGGTAGCCTCCGCTGGTTCTGCGCTCCCCCGTCGTTTTTCAGTCTCTTTCCTAGCCCTGTTTTTACTCCTCCCCATCCTCCTTTTTAAAGCGGTCTTATTTTCGCAACATTAGTATTTATTTTGCTTGGTAATTAGAAAAGCCGGAGGAATCCCCTGGTCCCCGTGCGCCCTCGGAGGTCGGCGAGTGCCCGCATGTGCCCTCGCTCGCTCGCTCACTCCGAGGGGTCCGGCCCTGCCTGCCCTCCAGCCCGCTTGTCCCCACCTTGTCCGGTTCTCCCTGTAGAGGAAGCCAAGGAACTTACCTGCGTGTCGGTCCCACAGCCCTGCTATACTCGACTAGGGGAGGGGGGTGGGGAGGGTGGCCGTGCTCAGCCGGGTGGGGGCTGGCCCGGACTCCCGCGCTGCTATTTCTCTATGCACCAGATCGTATTTATGACTCCTGGGGAAATATATCTTATTTTAACCCTCCAGAGAAGCGGAAGAATTTTAAAAGTAATGCACAGTTATAGAAGAAAAATTTTTAAGAGGAGGCTTAGGCCTGAACCTCCTGGCATGGGCGGGTGGTAAGGTGTTTTTATTTAATTTAAATTGTGTTTCGTTTGTGGAATCTTTTTTAAAGCTTGGTCGCTTTTTGGACTAGCCGGGGGAGAGGCCCGGAGGTTAGGCACTCTAAGCTGGGCGATTCTGCACCGGCTGAGATCTGGTTTTTCGAGGTTTGGCTCCGGTGCTCTGAGGCGCCTTCCGTCCTCCCGCTGCTCCCAGGCGGCTCCTGCTGAGCCTTCTGAACAGGACGCTAAACAACTCGTTGAAATAAGAAATTTGTCTTGTTGGTTTTGTTGTGTTCTTTTTTTTTTCATTTGTTACGAAACTGAGGAAAGGAAAAAATTTTAAAAAATAAATCTGTTTAGATCCAAAAGTCACTGGAACCTGACTAGCGTGTCTGTGGCTTTCATTTTATATGTGTTTCTCTTTGAATAGAAAAAAATATGGAAGTCCATGGATTGAGTTTTAGCAAGATCAGGGAAAGATTGACCAAGAGGCAAAAATGCATGTCAGTAGCCAGTTCTATGATTGGCTTCTAGGAGCCTGGGCTCCTTTCGAGGCAGGGCAGGGCAGCAGAGGCTGCAGGCGTCAGCAGTGCTGAGTTCAAGTGCACTGCAACCTGTCCTGGTGGCCCGAGCTGTCCTGGCCTTTCTTGCCAGCTGTCCCTCTCCCCGGGGATGGATGGCCCAGTCTCTGTTCTCCAAAGGGTGCAAGCCCCACCTAGGTAATAAGAGAGAGCTCTGAAAATCTCACCCTTCGAGGCTGTGGGCAGCTAGCTACACTTTTAGATGACAGTCCCCTCCCTTCATTAGAGTAGACTGTGAAGGTCCGCAGTTTGCAAACTTAGAGCAAGCGGGAATTCTGCCTAGCGTGGGGCACTCGGTCGGAAGTCAGAAGCTCTACTTCTGTGACACTACAGCTTCAGTCTTGAGAGAATCACCCGAGTTTGAGTCTCAATCCCAGGTCCCAGAAAAGCAGGCTTTGTCTGCCGCTCTTTTTGCCTTAGAATAACTCAGAGGGCTGTGTAGCACCCCAGGCTGGGAGCAGCTGAGCCAGCATTTTTGGGAGAAAATGCTGTTGGAAAGGGAGAAACAGACACTGAGGGTTGAGCTAAAAGAACTAACTCAGTGTGAGGCGAGACTTGCGGGTTCCAACTACAGTGGGGAAGTTCACACAAGTTGTCTTCCCAAGAAGGGGCTCTGAGTTGAGGGAAGCGCTGCTACTGGGGGCCCAATGGTACATCTAAGTCCTAGTCAAGAACAGGACCCAGGGCACCTCTGTTCCCCTCCCATTGCCCGGAGTCATTACAGAACCACCCTCTTGGAGGAAGTTCAGAAATGGGTCCTGAGTGACCTCTGCTGGACTTCTTTTGGGGAGAAATGGCAACAGCTGTGTCCACCTTTGCCACCCAGCACCCTGGCCTCGCAGCATCCAGTACTCAAGGTTTTGTCTCTGAGCATCTGGGACTCCGGCTGGGTGTGGTACTCAGGAGCCACTGTGTGCTGTTGTCCTCTTGGGGTTGCTCGGTGTTCTCGCCCTATTTGTGAAGGATTAGATCTCAGTTCACTTGCCTTCTCCCTTCTCCTTGCTCTTCACTCTGGTTTTCCTCTGGGAGTGAGGCTGAGGCGTACAAATGAATGTGAACCTTTTGGTAGTCATAGCCACTCACTCTGGGAGTTAAAAGATTGCCTTTTCTAGAAGCCTTTTGGGGAGCTCAGAAACCCCATGCATGGGGATTTCTTTGGCTTTCTCTTGTCCTGTGCGGGGGGGGGGGGAGCACTTACCTGTGTGCATAAGGCGGGTACTCTTACACAAAGGGCTCCCCCTCTTTTTTTCTTTTTGGTTGTCTGAAACAGGGTTTCTCTGTATAGCTCTGGCTGTCCTGGACCCCATGGACCCCATTCTGCGGGTCAGATTGTCCTGGAACTCAGAGATCCACCTGCCTCCGTCTCCCAAGTGCTGGGGTTAAAGCCACCACAGCCGGCTTAGGACTCCCATTTTTTAAAAAGGTCTCAGTGTGTTCCCTAGTACCTTACTGAGGACGAGGTAGTGAGGGTGGGAGGGTTCAGGTATCCAGTTTCCTGGATCAGAGGTTGGGGTGAGCTGTCAGGGACTTTGAGGAGCCTTAGTGTTCCACTTAAGATGATCTTGAGAGTCCCGCAGGTGCCAGTGTACATGTGTGTGTGTGTCGTGTACAGATGTGCATGCTTGTCCATTCTGTGTTGGTGTGTCAGGGCAATAGCAGTACCAGGTATCAGCCATGACCTGTCTGGACCACAGGGCCCAGAGGACAGTATAGTTCTGGGGCAGAGCCACAGGTGACCACAGTCCGGACAGTGGAATTAGCCTTCATTTAATGCCTTGTTCGGTTCATCCAGGACCTTGTCTGCTCCCCAGGTGCCCCAAGAGATGTCACCAAGAGAAGCCTGGTGTTTCCTGAGCCTCAGTATGGGGAGCCAGAGCAGATCAGGCCTCCAGTCCTCTACTACCAGCCATTCCTGTCTGAGGATGTGGGGCGGGGTGGGGTGGAGTGGGAGAGATATCTTGCTGATGCGGCTGCGTAGAGACCACAAGATCTGCTCGGGTTTTATCCCACACCCTGCACCCAAGCATCTCCTCCCCACATCCTTCCATCTGCCTCCTGGGGACCAACAGGGCCTAAAATGACCAACAACAGATGTAGCAAGAGAGCCCAGCTGTGCCCTGGAGGAAGGTTTGAGGCTGCTTGGCCTTTTCCTGTGGTCTGCAAAGATCCCACAACACAGCATGGACTCCAGCAGACTGAGAACTTCAAGCCTGCAAACCTGGCTCCATGAGTCTTATTGTGCTCCAGGTAGCCCTGTCCTGGCCCTGCTGCTAGTTCTGGGCAGCTCATTTACCAGCCCCTGAGCTGCTGCGCATGGAAGACTCCACCTCAGCTACAGCTGGGTGCTTCTCTGCCTTCCTCCACTTCTTCCCCTGCACACTGAAGCCCCCACCACCCATCTCTTATTTATAGCCAGCTCTACAGTTGGGGCAAGACAAGACCTGCGTGTCTCCAGCACATGGAGTGCACACCACAACGCGGTGTACACACACACGGGCACCAACACTTGGAGATGTGCACGCAGATAGCCACACATGCAGAATAAGTACACACAGACACCTCCCGTCCCAGTACATGCACAAGGCACAAGGCTGACTCCAAGTAAGGGCACAGGTCCTCTAGTCCACACCAGCAGGTGAAGGTCTATGGGCCTCACACAGCTGCACAAGGAGGAGGAGCAGTGGTTTCAGGAGAGATGGTCCCCTGGCACAGGCCAGACAGGCAGGCAGAGCAAGCGTGGGGATGAAGCTGGCCATACCTCAAGCTAGGGTTTCCTTACCAGCAGCCTGTCCTGGAAAGAGTAACTGTGGGAACATTGCACCAGCCATGAAAGCCACAGGGAAAGGGACACCGATCCTGCTGGATCCACAACTCTCTTGTTCGTCCCCCACCGACCCTGTCCTTAGGACCCAGCTGCCTGATCAGCAGTTTGTGAGGACATGGAATCAGGCTAGAGACCAGGGATGCCCTGTTGGGTGCAGGCACTAGGTCTCTGCCACGTACTCTTCCAGATTCTAGCCCAGTCCAGGCCAAGGTAGAGAGAGGCCAGAGATGGGAGGGTGCACCATAACCCATCACCACCATCCTTCTGCCCTTACCTCCTGAGAGGCATGTCCTGGAAAAAATGTAGCGCCTAGAGAGGCGATTCATTTATTTGAGCATTGATTGAGCATCTACTGTGTGTCGAGGGCTCTTTTAGGGGGTGACATTATTCTGGATATGACAGAGCCAACCCAGAGGTGAGAGATGAGAGTCTCCTTGAAGAGGCAGAGAGAGAGCCAGGATGGGATAGCCTGGGAAGAATGTCCCATCCTGAGGGAACTGGGAAGCATCAGAAAGGATGTACAGGTTATGGGCATCCTCAGCGACGGTGGGGAAGAAGCGTTGGCTTCCTAGATCTGCTCTGTGATTAGAAGGGGGTCATACTAAACCCCAACTATCAGGGTATCCTGTGGTGGAGGCCAGTGGCTACCCTAGGAACCCCAAGGATCCTCTAGGGTCCACTGAGAGATGTATGAAGTCAGAGCTTCATCCCCACCACTAGCCAGCGAGGACCAGCCAGAGGCAGGGGTGCAGAGGAGAGGAGGCGAGGCAGATCAGGGCCGGAGTAAATAGGGAGATCGTGAAGTGTCTGGGGCAGAAGGGCCACAGGAAGGCAGTAAGGCGGAAAGGAGAGACCTTTGGTCGACAGGAGGAGAAAGGACGGAGACTAACGCTTGCACTCTAGCCCTGTGCATTCCCGCCCTGCCGAATTGCAGGCACACAGCACACTACAGTGTAGGAGCCAGCACAGCAGAGGCAGAGTAATTTGCGACTGGCGGCTCAGCGCCTGCCTAATTCACATCGACACTGCTCAGCTGCTGAGGGCTTGAGCTGTCACAGCCAATTAGCCTGGGTCTGGGGAGCTGGGGAGGAGTGTGCTGGGGGCAGGCTGTGGGGACCCGTGACCATAGCCAAGACTGCAGCCCTGTCCTTGATGTCAGCGTTGTCACTAACTTCAATGCCCCCTGAGCCTGCCTCCTTCTGACCCTGGTGGTCACTTCTATGCTGGCGGCTGTGGCTCTTGTTCACTGACACCAAGGTCTAATGTCCTGAAGACGATTAGAATCAGGTCTAGCCTGGGGTGGTTCCTCCCCAACACTGAGCATCACCTTGGCCAGAGCTCTGACACTCCTCTGTCCTGCATCCCTCAGTGCTGCCTGGCGGGCGGGTGCCAGTCACCAGAGACCTACCCTGCCTCAGCAGCACCCCCCCATCTACAGGCTCACAAGGGCAGCCCACTCTTTCCGTCCAAACCTGTCCTCAGAGATGAGCTGGAGACACACACGACCTGTTTGGACTCCTAGGAGTGGTCTTGTGGCCACTGACTATACTGATGAAGTTGCTAAGGCAAAGAGAGGTCAAGTATTACCCAATGCCACCTAACTAGTGTGCTGCCCCTGGTAGCTTTGAGGCACCTCTTAGGGCTCCTTTTGGTGGCACAGCTACCGTAGACCCCACCCAAGCCTCCCCTGATTGACTGGCCAGACCTCTTTAACCCGAGTTAGGCCGTCCCTTGGTGGAAGTCACCACCAAGTCTTTCAAAGCTAGGCCATCATCGCTGCAATCTAGGCAGTGGGGGCTGTTCCCATTGCATTGCCCACTCATTGCCCGGCCTGATGCCCCAGTCTTGCCTGGCTGGCATCTCCCACTCCTCCACTACAGTTCTTTGTCAAGGTGGGGTGTGACTTTGGCAGGTTCCCTTGAGAAGTAGCACTTGTAGACGCACGCATATCTTGTGTGTCTTGGTGTG